TCACCCATTCTAGTATGGGGCACACAGTAGGTGTCAATGAATACTTACTAAATGAATAACAGGATTCCTCCCTAATCGTCCTTCACACCCTTGCTTGAGGGAACCAGTTCTGGCCCTTTTGGTCACCTAAGAATAAGGGACATTTCTGAATCTACTTTTGTCCCTGCCAAAACTGATTCTCTTCACAGAAGTGAATAGCACTTTAAAGGTCTGGCCCTAGGAAACAGTGGGAACCTCATACTCAGGAACAGGGCCCTCTGCTTCAGAGGTAGATAATCTGTGAAGGATACTAGGACAAGTTCAGCATGGGATCAGGCCCTGGGGCACATTGGATGTGTGACTATTCATTGCCGCAGTCTGGCTGGGCACAATTCAGGAGCCACTTGTCAAAAGAAACAAACTTTATTTTTAGAACCACATACGCCAAACCACACAGCTCCTCAGGAAAAACCCTCAGAGCCCAACTGCCACCACTGGCTTCCCACAAGCCTCTCTCAACCTCCCCCACTCCTCCTGCTCTTGAGGCCGATTGGCTGGGTCGGGAGCCCGGAGCCAAAAAAGTCCCCCAATGAGCAGCTCAGTGGTCTGAAAGGGCGGGGAAACAGCCCAATGAGCATCACTGCAGAGGAGCCAATCAGTTGGCAGCTAGAAGTTTGCTGGGGCCGCTGTGAGCCAATCATTAGCTGGCAGCTGGAAGTTTGCTGGGGTCCCTTTGGCTGTGGCTCTCAACAATTCATCCTCCTGGCTTCTGTTTAAGGTCCCAGCTAATGGGACCTTAAAGAAGAAGACTACATTTTGGAGCTAGATGTGTCCCTAAAGATCTTTTTGAACAGTCTTCTTTTTTTTCCTTTGGAGGTCCAGTTTAAGGACTGAGGGCACAGGGAACAAGATGTCATTCTAAGCAAAAAAATGTCCTCTCCTCCTCTTAGGGCTTGGTGGTTTCTTCTGCCCTCCATCAGAAGAAGCAGATAAAGGCACAACTGCAATGGAAACAAGACTCCATTGGGAATTCTTGCTGGAGCAGAAAGGAGTCACATCACTGACCAAGAGAATGTCAAGCGCCTCTCAAAACAAAGAGAAAGAGCTTATTTTATTCATGTGAAAGGGTAGTAGGGGTGAACTAGAATTGAGGAATGTCAATTGGTTTTAGGTGTATTTTAAAAGCTGTTTTTCTTCTCCTGGGAAGCACTTTAACCATGAGGTAGGGGTAGTCAGCCCATCATCCTGGTGTCAAATGTTACATTTTTCATGTTGATGCCACATCCTGCATAAACCTCTTTGCCCTGTGATAGGATGAGTTGTTGCAGCTGTTAAGAGAGCACATGGGTGGAGAGTGGAAGAAAACATAAATCATGCAAGTAACAAGTTCAAGGGCCTAGGAATTTGTTGTTTCAGTGAGTCCTCAACAGCTTTATCTTTTATGTTGTTTGTCCTTAGAGAGTCATGAAGAGGGTGTTCTGGCTTTAATGATGCACCTGGTTTCTAAGGCCCACAAGACTATTTGAAAGTGACTGAAGTGAGGGAGTGGGGGAAAGCACAAATGCTTTTAATACCCCATGAGCCTTGAGTTAAGATGGGAGAGCAGGGAGAGAGCACATGCTATGCTTTTAATAGCTTATAAGCTAAGAGTTAAAGTCCCTGAAGTGCATTTGCCCTTTTCAGGGATGGGAGCTGTCTCATCTGCCCCTTCAGTTTTTACTTGCTTAATCTTAAGGGGTGCTGTTTTTCATGAGGGTCTCTTACTTCTTCATTCTTATGCCTTAGCCCTGGACATGAGCACCTTGGACAACTATACTAGAATCTCATTATTGGCTCCAAAGAGTGTCCCTGCAGACCAAAGGCCCTCTCTGACAGGGTGGATGAAGAGAAGCCTCATATATCAACTTGAGGGGCTGGGAATTTGATTGGGGTGCAGAGAGAAATCAGGGAAGAGCACGAAGAAGGCTAAACTTCAGAGACTGTCTTCAAAACTAGATTCTATCTTGGGAATTTAAGTTGTTTCTCCTGGACTGATGTCCCAGCATGATTTGCCTTAGATTATAAATGGGAAAACTGAGGCCCTCTAGAGAGGATGAGGGAGTCACATTGTGAGGTAGACCAGACTGAGGCAAGAATAATCAGGCTGGCTACCTCTCAGACTGGCTGGGATCCTCTTGCCGGGCTCACACCTTCCTGGCCCACTCCAGAGCCTTTGCCCTGCTGCCTCCCATTCTCTCTTGGCTCTTCACATGTGCTCAGGGGACTGGCTCCAGATAGTGTAGGGAGATGTCTCTTTTGATTCTGCACAAGATGCCTTGATTCAAGGTTCTGCACTCTTTTCTTTGTTCTAGCCCTGAGGTACTACATTATCTTGGGCAAGTTGTTTCCCTTTCTTCTTTTAAAAGCAGTTTCTTTTTGTTTTGAAATGGAATCTTACTATGTTTCTCAGGCTGGTCTTAAACCCCTAGGCTGAAGCTATCCTCCTGTCTTAGCCTTGTGAGTAGCTGGGAATACAGGTGTGCACCACCATACCTGATTAAATGTTTCTCCCTTTCTAAGCCTCAGTCCTTTTTACCCAGCTCTGACAAAATGAGTCAAGATCAGAACCAGAGATATTAAAACCTCCATTCTCTTCCCAAAACATTTATCAGAAGCACTGAGAATTATGTTCATTATCTGGCATTCCAGCCATTTCAAGAGACATGCCCAGAGAGGGAAGGGGCCTTGCCAAATTTTCCACCACAACGTGACACTCAGCCTGACTCCTCTCAATCCTTCTCCTTCTATATCTAAAGCCTGGCAATTTCAGTAACTTAAAAGCTCTCGTGTAATAGACAGATTTCTCATACAGAAGAATTCTAATTACTTTAGATACTTTCCTCTTGAGGAAATGCAGCATAACTCCTCACTCCTTAAACATTAGCTGCATATAGTGGCTTCTTTCCAAAGATTACAGCAGCACAAAAAAGGACTAGCTTTAGAGTGAAGAAACCTACAGACACTACTTCAGCCATATGATCAAAGTTAACATCAACAGCAATAAATCATGTTGATAATACAAGCCCTTGATATGATATGATTAGAATAGCATTTTACTTCTGTGGTCTTCCTCCCATGTTGTGGTTTGAATCTAGAAATATCCCCCAAAGAGCTCATATGTTAGGCAATGTAGCAAGTTCAGAGATGAAAATATTGGATTATGAGAGCTATAACTTCATCAGTGGATTAATACATTTGATGGATTAATAAATTGGAATGGACTACTGGGTGGTAATGGTAGGCAAGTAGGGCATGGCTGGAGTAAGTAGGTCACTGGGGATGGGCCTTGGGACTCTTGTCCCTGCTCCTCCTTCCCCTCTGCTTCCTGGGTGCCATGAACTAACAGTTTTCTTCCATCATGCCCTTTCATCATGATGTTCTGCCTCATCTCAGGCCCAGAGCAATGGGAGTAGGCCAATCATGTACTTGGACCTCTGAAACTGTGAGCCCTAAATAAATTTTTCATCCCCTAGTTGTTCTTGTCAGGTACTTTTGGTCACAGAGACAAAAGGTAACTAACACTCTCTCTTGTTTAATCATGAGAAAAACATCAGACAAATTCCAGTGAAGGGATATTCTACAGAATACCTGACCAGTACTTCTTAAATATTGATGACTCCAGATTATCAAAAACAAGGAAATCCTGAGAAAGTGTCACAGTCAATAGGAACTTAAGGAAACATGACAACTAAATGTAGTATGGTACTCTGGATGAGATCCCGGAGGAGACAAAGGACAATGAGTTAAAACTAAGGAAACTTGAACAAAGAGTGGACTTCGGCTAATCATAATGTGCTGATACTGGTTCATTAACAGCAATAAATGCACCACAGTAAAGTAAGATGTTGATAATCAGGGAAACTGGCTGTGGGGTATACAGGATATTTCTGTATTGTCTTCGTAGTAATTCTTTAAATATAAAACTACTCTGAAATTAAAATAAATATATATATTTAAAACCCTACCATATCCATCCCCATGGTACCTTCTCATCTGAGGTATAGCTTCAACTTCCTCACAGCTTTTTCCTCCCTCCCATCCATTCTCCTGACAGCCAGCAGAGGGCTGTCTCTAAAACGCAAATCTGACCTTATCTGAATCCTTCCTGCAAAATAAAGGCGTTAGATGGAAAGTTCGGGAGATATATTGTAAAATACCGACCCGAATATTTGTCTAAAAGTTATTATAGTCCAGACGAATGTGGGAAATATTTCTGGTGTCCGTGGAAATAAAGTTACTAGGTCCAAAATTAAATACAGCTCAGTCTTTCCAAGGTTTTCCAGACAAAGCCTGCTTTTCAGATGCCCAACTCCCGACTCCTCACCCCATCGATTCCCCACCCCACCGCACAACTATAGAGTGAATTCCCTTTGTTCTGCCTTTATCTGTATAGAAACTCCTCAGCCTCAGCCCTCTTTATTCCTGACTTCTCCCTTAGGTCCAGCTACAGGGATTCTGCACCCCCACCCCCCAAAGACGAGAGCGCGCTCCTGTATGATTGTGTTGTGATATCCGGACCGATATCGTAGCTTTTATTTTTTTTTACTACGTAAGAACGAGAAAAAAAAATGGATTCTTCTGGCTTCCCCACGCCTAGCTAACACTAGGCCCCAAGAAAGACTTGACGCACTAGAAATGAACAGATGAATCACCGAATAAATTAAAGTTCAGGCTCAGAACATCTCTTTGCGCATGCGTCAAAGGAAAGGCGTGGGAAGCTCTTTGCTACCTGGCTGGGTCTAAAGCGACCGCCGCGACAGGGAGGGGCTTCCTCAACCTCACCCTGCGATTGGTCAGGATGGTCCGCAATGGTCTGACGCAACGCCTTTGCGGCCTGGAGGAGCTTGCCCCAGGTCTGCAGAACCCCCAGCAACTACCATCTTGGAGGCGATTGCGTAGGCTAGGAGGCTTCGTGCTGGCCTGTTGGAAGACTGGCCGCTAGAGACTGCACACTAGGGCGGACAAAAGACTCGAAGCGGCACTTTGAATTTGCTCAGTTTTATTAGGATCATCAGGGTTCACAGGGAAAAGAGGCGGGACTTCTGGGGGAGCGGGGACAGGAATACCGCAATGGCAAAGCGGCCTTGCATAGACACCTAGGCGGGCTAGCGGCACGGTGAGGGGGGAGGGAAGAAGAAAAGGATGGAAAGAGAGAGACTTGGTAGAACAGGGTGGCAACAGAGCCTTCAAGGCTACTGCACAGCTGCGATGAAGGCCACAAGGACCCTCTCCGCTTTGGGATCAGGGTGTCCACTCCACAGGAAGAGGGGCTGGGGCCAACACTAACAAGGAGAAGGGGGCTAGAGGGGCCCTGACCAAGGCATCACAATAAATACGTTTAGCAGCACACAGAAGCCTGCGGGAGGAGGAGGGCCAAAAAGGGGGAGAATCTCCCTTCCCCCCTCCCAAAATAAGAACTCTGCAATTACTAAACCATAAAAATAAACTTTAAACCCGTGTACGAAGTCGGTCACCCCCCAGAAGTGCAATGTGGAGCCGCGTGGCCCTAGCTGAGGGGGTGGGAAACGGGACAGGGGGAGGGGGATACAGAGAAGAGACCCCCCAAAAGGGTAAGATGTTTATCCGGTTTTCCCCCTCTTCCCCGGGTTGGCCCAAGCGTTTGGGACTTGAAGCACCTCCTCAATGTCAGAATCTTCTGAATCGATTTCACTTCCTTCCTCCACGTAGCTTCTTTCCTCCTCATAGCTGTCTTCGCTTTGCTCACTGCCTGCACAGGGGAGAGAGGCAAGGAAGGGGAAATCGAGGAGGGCAGTTAGATGTCACTCTGAAAAGGAACAGAAGACACAGCCAGGGCCTTTGAGGGGCCTGGAACCACTTTCCAAGCGCCTCTGCTTGGAAAAAGCAGCTCTGTTTGTGTCAGCACATGCCCACAGACTCAATCCCACAGGGTGGGGGGGGGGGGGTAGGAAGGAGGCATGAAGGCAGGGTGGGCTCCCTGCCTCTGTCCTGTCAAAATTGATACATTTCTGAAAGTAGCTTTTTTTCTGTCCCCTCACCCCCCATTCCTCAATCTGGCTCTTCCTGAGTTCAGACCTCAGCTGAATAAACCTATTCATCCCCAGGCAGCTCCCTCACTTCTTTTCCCCAGTCTGGTGCAAACAGGCCCCAGTCTGTCTTTTTCAGCCCAATTCCCCACACCCACTACCACCCCAGGGTTGGGCAGACAGCTCTGCCTCCCATTCTTGGACTTGCCATCAGGTGGGAGAAGAGGACTGACAACTCCCTCAGTTCCCCTACCCTACCTGAAAAATAAATCTAAATTGAGGCCACTCACTCATCCAACGCCATTACCCTTGATGACCCACCCCTGTCTGAAATGATGTTTGTCAGGGAGCCCATGGCCAAAATCTGTAGGAGTGGTTGGTTTTCTCACCCAGTCTATCTCCCTCTCCACCAGGTGGGGGCGGGAATGACACTTCTCTTCTGTCTGCTTAGAATCAAACTCAAATACCTCCTTTACACAGGTTTAAAGTTTATTTTTATGGTCTTCTGGGTCAGAACCAAACTTAGGAGTTACCTCAAATACTTATCTCTCCCTTAAACCCCCTTGTGCAATCCTTCCTCATTTCCCAAAAATGTGTTCTTTGATAATTTCTGTGGTCAAGAAGTTTAAACATGTTGAGATCTGCAAAGTGAAATAGGTTTTTTTTCACAGTAGGTTTTCTTAGTCTTTAAGGTGCTAATATGTGTGATTCTATAAGAGGAAATTATTGTATGTAACATGTATGACCACTGAACCCTTCTGTGAGGACCAACTTTCAAAACTGATAAAACGGTTCTCAGGAGACAATTTTGGAACCCTTGCCCAACAAACCATGCATTTTCACTCTTCTAGGTCCTTGTTCACACTATCCATTCCATGAAAATGCTCCACAGTGCTCTTTATTGGGAATGCAGCTTCCAATTCAAGTATCACCTCCTTTTTCTAGCTCTCCCACCCTCTTCCCCACTCTTGAGTTAGAATTAGCTGCTCCATCCTCTAAGCTTACAAAGGAAACTGTCACTTCACCTTCAGCTGCCCAAACAAGCCTGGGAGTTCTCACAAGACCAGGGAGCTGGGTACAGAGTGCTGAACTGTAATGTATTTGCCACTTTTTTCCACGTATGTGTGTGTGTGTGTGTTTACTTTTAGTTTTCCACCACTATCCCCTATATTTTTGTCTACTTTTTTGTCTTTTGCTCTGTTACAACCTAGAACAGTTCTATCACCTAGAATTGAACTTATTTTTGTTTGGTTTTGTTACATTTATAAATTAAATGCTCTCTGACCTTCCTTTATTTAAAAAGCTGCATAGAAGGTTTTTTCTTTCCTTCAGAAGAAAAGACAGTGTTAGTAGCTGGATACCCTGGTTCCAGGTTTTCTCTGAGAGAAAAGAGTCTAGCTCACCTTCCTCACTGCCCTCCTCCTCTTCTTCTTCCACTGAGTCTTCAGAGATGATCTCTACCTCATCCTCGTAGTCATCCTGGTTGGAGCTGTTATCCTGATCCTTGTCAAAGATGTTAATATCATTCTTGTAGTAGTCAATGTCTCTGTCGTCATCATCACTTCCCTCATTGTCACCCTCGTTGCCATCATCATCACTACCCTCATTGTCACCTTCATTGCCATCATTGTCTTCATCATCACTGCCCTCATCTCCGTTGTCACTATCACTGCTGTCCTGGTTGTTGGCACTGATGGCAAAGTTGCCACTGATGCCTCGGTTGTCACTGTCCAGGTTCTTGTTGTCACTATCAACACTCTTGTTGGGATTCTCATTGTTTTCAGGATTCTCATTTTTGTCGTCAGTGCTCTCATTGTCATCAGTACTCTCGTTGTAAGTGGTCTCATCATCAGCACTCTCGCTACTGTCAGCGATCTCATTGTTGGGGTTCTCAATGTGGTTAGGGCTCTCACTGTCACACAGGCTCTCATTGATGTCAGTTATCTCATTGTCAGTGGTCTCGAAGTAGTCGGTGGTTTCCATGAAGTCAGAAATCTTGATGTCATGAATAGTGTCATTGTCAGTGGTCTCATCAATGTCTGAGATCTCGCTGAGAACGTCTCCCATGGCATAATAGTCATTAGCGTCTTCCATGATCACCATCTCAAATTCATCCTTGGCTTTACTGTGGGGAAGTTTCAGGCTAAGTATGGGGTTAGTGGGAGATAAACCCAGGGAAAACACTGAAAAATGGTAAGTAAATGGGAAGGCAGTAGGCTACAAGGGCTCCTAGGAATGGTGTTAGGCTAGGAAGAGTCCCATTTCTGCCCTTGACTATATAACCCTCAGGCCATTTCTGGGAGTCATTCTTCACTTATAAAACATTGCACTAGATTATCCCAAAGGTCCCTTGCAGCTCCATAAATCTTGTATAACCCTAACCTAGTCTTTGCTCCATGTCCAACAAACCATTTCTCAACCACCAATTCCCCCATCACCTTTCCTTCTCTTCTTGCTTCTTTCTGTTTGCCCTGTAGCCCCCTTCTCTCATGTAGTAGCGTAGAGGGTTAACCCACAGGTCATTCTTGATAATCTGTTGAAAGAGAAGGGGAATAGAGCCATGTGTATAAGTGCCAGACCTTACATCCAATTCCCCAGACACCCAGGGAAAGTCTAGCAAAGCCTTCTCTGCAAATGCCAAGAGGGTCCTCACCTCAGCAATTCTGTCAGCTTCTGGGAGGCTGTGGTTTGAGAACCAGCTGAAGAAGCTGTGGCTGGTGTCCTGGTTCCTGCGATTGTGGGCCTGGGGTTCCTGGCCCCGGTGCCAGCGAATAGGGGTGGAGTGAGACACCAGCCGGCCTATGGGAAGAGGAGGCCATAGAAACAGGACTGGATAAGGACAGACAGGGGATTTACCTTGGGACCACGACTTACCCGAGCGGTTGCGCTGGAACTCCTTGACGATCACCATGTTTGTAAAGTAAGGGTTTGTCTGGAAGTATAGCTTCATTTTGTAGCCCATGGAGATATGTCTGAGATCCTGTACCTGCTCAGGGTGGTGGCAATGGTGGAATCTTTTCCCCCAACGGTACCTCCCACCCCCCCTCACCTTTAAGGACCAGATTCCTTGGTGTTCCTCTTTGGCCTGACCTGAAGATTGGTCAAGTAGCGGAAAATGTCTTCATCTCGTTGGTTGATCAAGATTGAAATTCTGGGGTGGTTGAGGAACTGATGAGTGGAGCAGTTTAGGTCAAGGATTAACTGTTCAATGTGAGGGAGGGAGGGAAGGCCAGGCAGGGCAGAGCAAAAGAGAGGCTGGAGCAGGAGGATTTCTTCTATATTGATGTGATATGTGTAGAGCAAGCATACTTTATAAAAGCATACTTTTATTCCCATGATACAATTTATGTGATAAGACCCTGTGTTTATGTAATGTTAAATCTATGTTAGGTAGCCTTGCCATGGTTCATATTTGCTGTGTGTCTGGGTGCTGAGGATCTATGTCCATGTGATATCTCTGGATGCTGAGGGTATGTGTACACAAAATACTATGTATCTGGGGGCTGAAGGCCCCAAGTGATGATGTATCCGGTTACTGAGGGCCTCTAAGTGGGCGTCAAGGGTCTGCATCCACATGATGTTGTGTGAATGGCTCTTAGAGTCTGTGTTCAAGTGATGCTATATGTCTGTGTGCTGAGAAGCTATGGCTACATAACACTGTCTGGGTGCTGAAATCTTGTGACTACATGATACTGTATGCCAGTGTGCTGAGGGCCTGTGATCACATGATATTTATATCAGGATGCCAGGGGTCTGTCTCCATGTAATTCTGTTAAGATGTTAAACCTACATGTTCCTAACATGTTACATGTATATGTGTTCCCCAGGGATGAGCTTAACAATCAGGAACAGTGAATGGGATTCTTCCTATTCTCCCTTTTCCTTCAGTTAACCCCTTGATCTCCATACCCAGGTAATTCTCTCCTGGCCTTTCAGAGGCTCCAGCCCCTCCCAAATGCCCTCTCCTCCATCCCCTCCCAACTCTAGCTAGGATTGAGGTCTCCTAGTGTCTAAGTAGACAACTAGGCTTGCAGAGCCCTCTGTGCCTTAAACATCCTCTCTGGGCAGTTTCTCTGCCTTTCTCCTCCCTCTTCACTGTCTGAGTCAGTTCATCTTCTGTATGCCCCTCCCCTTCTCCTTTCACCATCTCTGGTCCAATTTTTCTGCTGTGCTCCCCTGTTACCCTCCCCCTTTCACTGTTTGTGATCCATTTTTTTTAATGTTATGCTTCTCCTCTTCCCCCACTCTTCCCATATGTGGTCCAGTTTTTATTGTGTGCTCCCCCCAACATCTCCAGTCCAGCTTCTCTGCTGTTTTGCCCTCCTCCTTCCATCCCTCTTCTACCCAATCTAGTCAGTCTTCCGATAGGGGGCTCACCCCCATCTCTGGCCCTTCCCGACATCCCTTCACCCTTTCTGTCCCTCCCCCATGTCTCCTTTTCTGTCATGGGTTTCTGGCCCATGAGTATCGATGAGAAGGATACTGCTTTGACCCAGAAGCCTGGGATGTGCTGAATGATCAGGTCTCTGCGCTCCAGGAAGGGTCTTCGCATCTGGATGAACTTGCGCTTGAGACGCAGGAAGGCCTTGCCTGCCTTGATGTTCACTGCCTCCAGGTCCATTTGAATGCTCTCCAGTGCCTGCAGGATGCTTTCCATCCTCTCAGCATTTCTCTCTTTGCTTTCCTTCACCTTCCTCTGCTTCCTCCGCCGCCGCCGCCGCCTCCTCCTCCTCCTCACACTTTCCTTTTCATCCTCATCCTCATCTTCCACTATGATGACAGCCTCCTCCTTCCTCTTTGGACCGACTAACATCTGGGGCCCCCACCCCCCTGAGCTACAGGTTTCTAGGGCCTTCTCTCCTGCAAGGCTGCTGGGCTCTGCAACCTGAAAGTCAATTTCCAGGCTCCCCCCAGAGGCTTCGGAAGGGGGGAGTGTTTCCAGGCTCCCTGTGGGAGGGGGCGACTCCCCATACCCTGACTCGATCGCAGGATCCCAGCCGGGACCACCAGCACCCAGGGTGAAGTACGCGCGGATCCCCCCCTCCTCAAGAATGACATAGGGTGGCGGTGGGGGCAGCGCGGGGCCCAGTCCCACCCTCCTCATATCAGCCAGCACCTGTGCCGCCTCGGTTTCCTCGCGGAGCCTCGGGCGCTGCTGGGGTGGAGGGAGAGGCAGTCGCAGGAGCGGCGGTGGCGGCGGCGGGGGAGGCGGCGGCGGCGGATCGCGCTGAGGGGGCTCCGAGCCGCTGAGGCGGCGGGTCTTGGCCGGAGGCCCCTCATCCGGGCGGTCCATGGTGACCGCGCTCACAAGCTCAGGAGATAGCACTAGCTCCTTTGCTCTTGGCCGGCCGCCGCTACCAGTTACACCTCAAGTGTAGCCGCTGCGCCTCACGCGACCAGCTCCGCTCACCGCCTCGCTCTGGCGTTCCCTCCCACAGCGATTGCCCTACTCCCTCCGCGCCAATCGCGAGGCCCCGCCCACTGCCTGACGCAAGGAGCCTGCCTGTCTCATCATTGGCTACCGGCCGCCGCGGCGGCGCTCGCGTTCCTGCGACCCCTGCCCGCTCTCACGCAATCTGCTTGCCAACACTACACATCATCACTTTGCGATTGGCTCTCCTCAAACCCGCGAATCAGCGGGCTAGCTACCCCGGCGAAGAGAGGAAAACTGCCAAACGATTGGTTGCGAGGAAAGCTAGGGGAAGAAGCCCCTCTCCCTCACTCTTAAAACGTTTATCCAATGGGAAGAGTACCAGTGGTTCTGAAGACCAAAAAACAAGACGAAAAACAAACGCAGTGAGCAGGATGTGCTCAAATAAAATCGAAGAGCCTCGCTATCGTTCCCCCGCCCCCCTCTCCTCAGCAACTACGCACTTCTTAAATCTGCCCCTTCCCCCATCTCCTGCTTCTGCCCCCGTGGTCAACTCTAATGTATCCACTTAGGGTGCCGGCTGCCCTAGCGCTCCTGCAGTTTAGGCACTCAAGGTCTTTGATTTGGGGTCTAAGTTTTGACGTGGCATTTTCCATCTCTGCAAAATGGTTCTAGAAACAATACTTACACAAAAAAAGTAACTGCCTCTGCGTCATAAAAAATGATAGCGATTCAGCTCATCTGCTAGATTTTTCTAGGACTTTCTATCTCTTAATCTGTTGAACAGTTCTCTTCCCTTCCATCCTTTCCTCCGTGTATACTGCTTTTAGTTATATCTTAAGATTTTGTTTTTGACCAGAGATGGATGGTCTTTGGCGAGGCATGGTGGTTAGTGGAATTCTGGCTTTGGGTCTGGAATGAGTGTGACCCTCACATTGTAACCCTAATCAAATCACTGCACCTCTCTGAGCTTCTTCTCTAAATTAGGCATCCCTAGTTCCTAAAGAGATGTAGGTAGCTTCCCATTGCAGCCTTGTTGTGGTAGCAAAGAATGGAAGTGAACCTAGGGATCCATCACCAGGGCAATGGATTGGAAAAATGTGATATATGTTTAAGATGGACCACTAAAATGAATTAGATCTATATATAGCAATATGGCTGGATCTCAAAAACATAATGTTGAGTGAAAAAAGAAACAGAACAAGATTTATAGTACAATACTGTTTATGTAAATTAAAACACACAACAATACCATATATTTTACACAATACACATATGTAAAGAAACACATGATCGGTGGATTGGAAGGACAACGTTAAATACACGAGTGGGTGCCTATGTGGAGTGGGGGAGGATGGGATCAGGGATGGGTGATGAAGGGGACAAAACAAAACAAAAAATAAAAGGGCCTTGCATGGACCAACGATGATATATTGTGCCAAGAACTGAGGAGTATGGTCCACTCAGTTCTGTGCACCTGAGAGAATAAATAAATAAATAAATAAATAGTAAATCAAGTGTGCAGGGAGTAGGACAGCTGGGTAGACCCCAGACCTGCTGCACCTGCCTCTGAATTTAATCAAAGTTGACCAAAGTCCCAGCTGTATATAGTGGATCTTTGGGAAAGGCTCCTAGCCCAGACTGAGCAATTTCTCCAGTGCCTTTACTTTGGGGGGGCATTTCCTAACCCCATCAGTTTCCCCAATATTTTATCCCCAATTCCCTTTCCCCATTCTCCATGGTCATCCAATTTCAAGAACATCTTGTTTGAGTTTGAGGAAGGGGACTGAGACTCCAGGCTTTGGGAGGAGAGGGGTTCTCAAGTACCCTGCCTTTTTCACCTGGTGCTCAGAGCTTGGGCCAAGAGAGGATGATCTTATACGATGGGAGTCAGCCCTCTTTCTAAATACATACACATAATTTCCAGGTTCTATCTCCTGAACACACTACTTCCTGCTGCAGGCACATACTCTAGTTTGTCTCCTCTCAACTAGATGGATGTGTGTGTGTGTGTGTGCACGCGCACGCACATGCAATGTACACATCTCTGCATACAGGCATTACTCATATGTGTGCACCAGGCAAGTTCTCCTCAGGGGTGTCTCCTCACACAAAGTCACACAGACACATCCTGTCTTACTCAGTCATACTTCCCCACGTATGGTCACACAGACAGGACACACACACACACACACAGTCAGAAAGAGAAAACATCCAATATAGCATTGTTCATTTCGTTTTTCCATTTACAAAATCCAATGGTGAATCCAGGCAGTTAGAAAAAAGAAATGGAGGAAAACCCTCCTGAATGTACCCTATCTACCCCCCACCCCCTTGGTCTTCCCACCCCACCCCTCGGAAAGGCACCCCCATCACTATCACTGAGAGAACAGGTACCCCCCCCCCACTCCCAGCCTCTCAGCCACTCTGGCCTGCCTTTCCAGGGTCACTCCACAGCTAGGCTCATTAATGTCTCTCCTGCCTAGAGTGCCCTCCTCATTTCTTTTGGGTCAAGGCTTCCCCAGTTCAGGGGCTGTCTTGGGGTAGGGAGGGATCTTAGGACAGGGGCTTCTGTAAGAAAGGTAAAGGGGGGTGGATAAATACAGATAGATCCCTGCCCCTGAAGGAAATTATAGGGGGACAGAAAGCCTGGGCAAGGCCAGGTAAAGGAGTGCCAACTTGGCTTACCAATTCATAGAACTAGCCTTGAAGTAAGCCCAGAGTAGATTCTGTCCCTGGAGGGAGGCTTGGAAACTCCCACCTAAGTAATCTGGTTGCAGTCTGCTCCACTTTGGGTGTAGGTAAGGGTGGAAAGGAGGAACGGATTGAAGGATTGTTGTGAGGAAGGACATTTGGGGCTGACCCAGAAGGCCAAGGGCTACCAAGGAGGGGCTTGTGGCCCAAGGCTTTAGGGGGACAAAAAGAGGTCAGATAGGAATGGACTCAAGTCCATAGTGCCTTGGGGTTTATACCACTATCAGTTACCAAGGCCCAAAAAGAATTCTCATCTTCGGAAGAGTAACGTGAACCTGGGAGAAATTCTGGGTTTGAATTCAGCTCTGACCTCAGGCTCTGGGGTCCAAGGTACTCTGGGGAGTTCAGCTTCTTCCCTACACATCTGAGGGGCTGCTCCTGCCTGCATGACACCTACAGCCCTAGTGGGGCTGGAGTGGGTTTCCATCCTCAGGAAGAAGAGTTATTGGGCTAGGGATCCAGGAGATGGTGTGAGAGAATGTGGCTACGCTCGATCTCTTCAGCTCAAGGAATTCACTCACATCCTACTCTTTACCTAGTTTTTTGGGCCCATCATGGGGGCCCTTTTCTCTACCCTCTTGGCTTCTCAAATAGATCCTCAAGAAGCACTAGAGAGGTCTGGACATGGTGGGGAGGGAGAGAAGACTGGGTTGGGACCAGCATTAGCCAAAAACGACATTGCACACAACATAGCAATAAACATCCTTGCTCCCTGGGGACCTAGCACCCCTTTTGGTCCCTCTTGTTGGCAGCCTTGGATAAGTTTCTCCCTAAACATCCAGGCCTTGCTAAAGGACTTGGAAGGGGAGGGTGCCTGGGAGCAGAAGGGGCAATAAGAGCTCTGGAATTCTATTTTACAGGACATATTTCCCCCTTCTGGACAATGTCAGAAGGAGAGACATTAAAGCAAGAAAGCCTGCCTCCTTATCTGTTAGTAGAAAAACCTGCATTTTCAGTTTTGTTTTCTTTTTCTGAATTGTGAGAGAGAGAGAGAGAGAGAGAGAGAGAGAGAGAGAGAGAGAGAGAGACTGTAGAAGTAGAGAAGGAGGCTGCAGACACAGGCCCCACAAAACTAGGATGCCTCTTTCCCAGTCCCCCACCCTAGGGTGGTATTGGCAAAGGTGCCTGGATTATGGGTGGTTCGAGGGGCTGGGGCTGGAGCTCAGAAAAGAAGGCTCCTGTATGGGGCCCCACCCCTCCCTTGCTGTTGGCCTCACCATGGTGGCCATGACCCTTTCCCTGCCTGTCTGCCAACCCGCCTGCTTCACATGACACAGTAGGGTTCTCTGGGAGCCGGGGCACCTCCTGTGCCCCAGCAGGGGGCATGAGTCCTCAGGCACTTCTTGAGGTCCTTGTTGAGCAGGAAGCAGACGATTGGGTTGACAGCAGCCTGGGCGAAGCTCATCCAAACAGCGGTGGCCAGGTAGCGGTGGGGCACAGCACAGGCTTTCACAAACACTCGCCAGTAGCAGGCCACGATGTAGGGTGACCAGAGGAGCAGGAAGAGCAGTGTGATCGCGTAGAACATGCGACCCAGCTGCTTTTCACCCTTGACCTCGTCCATGCCCAGCAGCCGCCGGCTGGCCGCATGCCCATTCTGCCGGATACCCAGCAGAGTTGGTGGCATGGGCCCACGGCCAAAGCCAGCGATCCAGTTGGCAGCAGCCTGGCCTGTGGCCCCAGGGCCATGGAATGTCCAGTTCTGGCTAATGGCTGGCACCATCTGCACTGGCTTCATCTTGCGGTGACGGTACTCGAAGAGGAGCAGCTTGCCATAGACAGCATGTGTGGCTGCCATGAGCACGGCCAACATAAGCATGAAGCCCAGCGTGTCATTGGCCTTGAAGTAGCGATGCTCAAAGATGCATTGGTCCTCCTCCCGGATAAACTTGTAGGTGCCCACATCGAAGACAGGTGGGAAGGCCATGGCCACAGACAGGGTCCAGGCCATGCAGATGACAGCTGCGCATGTCCAGAGTGTCATGCGCTTGGCGTAGAAGCGGTGGTGGGCAATGGCCATGTAGCGGGTAACGCTGATGCAGAACAGCATGAAGGCCGCATGGAAGCAAAAGAGCACGGCCATAAAGGCCACAATCTTACAGCTCAGTGCACTGAAGGTCCATGAGGAGCCGTGGCGCACAGAAGCCAGCACAAAAGGGAAGCAGACGGCAGAGCGTATGCCATCAGCTAGGCACAGGTCCAGCAGAAAGTAGTAAGGAGCCTTGTGCAGGGCACGCTCCTTGAGCACCAGCAGGGACAAGATGGCGTTGCCCGCCAGGCTCACGCACATGATCAGTCCCAGCAGCACCAGCTTCACATAAGCCGATGCTGACGGCGGGGACAGTGCGCCGCTCACCTCCTCAGGCTCTCCGGTGGTGTTGGCCATACTGAGGGGCAAGGGCTACTCCCAACCCTAGGGGGTCAGCCAGTCCGGTACTTGATGGGCCCTGGGGGACTCCATCAGTTGTCCTGCTGGGCTGCACCTGTAAGTGGGGACAGTGAGGGAGACACAGACACAGAGAGACAGAGAAGTGAGGAAAGGAGAGAAACAGAAAAATGCACACAAATATGCAGAGACAGTAGGAAAGAATGAGAGAGAGAGAAATGGTGACGAAGTTATAAATGGATATAAAACAACACAGATGTGGAAAGGATAAGAGTGATTGAAACAGAGATAAATGAGAGACAGTGAGAAATGGGTGGAAAGGAAAGGTGAGGAAGAAACATAGAGGCCAGGGTTAGTGTGTCTGTGAACCCTTCCCACTGACTCCCTAGTTAGGGTCAGGTCCTGAGTCTGGCCCACTCCTGCTCCTACCCCTTCCTTGCTGGGTGCAGATGCTTCATCTCTTTGGATGTCCTCAGTTACCCATTTCCTCCACTTGTGCGTCTGTGGGGACAGGAATGTTGTTGGGGCTCCTTTCCCCCTTTTTAAAGCCTCAAAGTTGTGTTAAAACTTTTTTGACCACCACCCACAGTAAAAAGGATATTTTACACCACAACCCAGTACACATATGTGCATGAACACACACAACTCACCAAGTTTCAAAAAACAGAACTGATCCCATGTGTAGTGTACTCCATTCTATTTTATTACTTTTTTCTTTCTCCCCCCCCCCTGCAAATCACTTCCTTCCTTCCTTTCTTCCTTCCTTTTGTACTGGGGATTGAACCCAGGGGCCTTTTACCATTGAGCTACATCTCCAGGCCTTTTAATTTTTTACTTTGAGACAGGGTCTTACTTAGGTGCTTAGAGCCTTGCTAAGTTGCTGAAGTTGTCCTCAAACTTTTGATCCTTCTGCCTCAGCCTCCCTGGTTGATGGGATCATAGGTGTGTGCCACCATGCATGGCTTCTATTTCATCTTTTTTTTAAAAAAAATGCTGGCAGTCATTCATCAAATAGATTTCTGTTTAAAATTTTTTCTTAGGATAACAAGGCTTCTTTTAAAAATTTTGTTGTTGTTGTATATGGACACAATACCTTTATTTTATTTATTTATTTATTTTTATGTGGTGCTGAGGATTGAACCCAATGCCTCACATGTACTAGGCAAGTGCTCTACCACTGAGCTACAACTCTGGCCCCTAGATTTCTTTATTCAAGATCAGATATGCATTCAGCATGTTCCAGGAACAATGGAAAGATTAGTGTCACAAAAGTAGCATAGGTGAGGGAGACAGTGGTAGGAGGTAAGGTCATACACATGTCCAGGGTCAAGTAGTATAGACTGTGGGCCATGAAGAGGACTTTGGTTTTTACTTTGGGTGAGATGAGGAATATGCATGAATACACAGATGAAAGCATGCTTGTATGTGTTCATTCATTCATTGAAAAAATATTTATTTATTGAGTATCTACTGTATGCCAGGCACTATTCTAAGTACTGAGGACAAGACAGATGAACAAGACAGATGAAGATCCCTGCCCTTGTGGAGATGACACTGAAACACAGGCGAAGTTGGTATATCAGATGATGACAAATTCCTATGAATAAACATAAAGGAGGGAAGAAGAATAGGAAGTACTAGGGCTGGGGAAGGTGTTGCAGTCTTTGATGAGGCAGACAGAGAAATTTTCACTGAGAAAATGTTATTTGAGCAAAGACCTGAAGGAAGTGAGGAAGAGAGTCACATGGCTATTTGAGGGAAGAGAAATCCAGGCAATAGGAACAACCTGAACAAAGGCCCTGGGGTGGGGCAATGTATGGAACATTTGAGAAAAAGCAAGGAAGGAGTTGGTAGAACAGAATGAGCAAAGGGCAAGTGCTTCCAGGTGAGGTCAGAAAGGTGGCAAGGAGAGACCACAGAGGCCATGGTAAGGACTTTGACTTTGACTCAGAATGAGATGGGTTTTGAGCAGAGGTGAGGTGTGATATGATTTAGGACTGAACAGGATCCCACTTGCTGCTGAGAACAGATCATATGGTGCAATGGTGGAAGTGGGGAGACTAATCAGGAGGATCCTGAAGTAATACAGGTGAGAGGAGAGGTCACAACACTCCCATTCCTGGTTCTCTCCTTTATTTTTTCTTTCTAGAATTTCTCTTGCTAACACACGATATAATTTATTTTTAAAATATTTTTTAGCTGTAGTCGAACACATAATCTTTATTTATTTATTTTATGTGGTGCTGAGGATTGACCCCAGCACCCCACACATGCTAGGCGAGCACCCTACCGCTGAGCCACAACCTCAGCCCTATATAGGAGTAGTACAGAGCACACAGTAGGTTCTCAGAAAAGATGTCAAATAAATTGACTGAGGGACTAAATGGGCTGGTGAGTAGAGAGGACTCCCTGGGGGCATCCATGTAGGATTTGCTGAAAGAATGGTCTGGGGATTGTGTCTGGTAGTGAGAGTGGCACAGCTGAGCTTGGGGAAATCAGGAGAGGATCTGGTGTGTGCAGGTAGAGAATTTTGGGATTTGATAAGGCAACTGGGCAAGGCCCAGAGGGAAGGTAGCTGAGCTGCTTGAACAGAAGCTGGAGAAACTCACAATTGCTATTGGGGCTGGGGCTGGGCTGGAGGAGGTGGAGCTTGAATGGATATTTTCCTACCACCTCCTTCCTAAAGTTTTCTCTCTATACTATTTCCTGACCCAGTCCTACCTAGTCTGCCACAGCCTCCTAGAACCAGTTTGTGGGTTTTTTTTTTTGTCTTTTGTTTTTTTGTTTGGTTTTGTTTTTTATGGTTCTGTGAAGTCTCAGAGTCATTGGCTTACTGGCATAGGAGGGGTCTAGGACAGGTGTTAGGAGAAGGAGGGGTGGGCTCTCTTTCAGTCCCTCAAGGTCTGGTGGCCCCCTCTCAGAACTGGAGGGCAGCCTTCATCTGGGTGTGTGTACATGTGCATACACCCACGCCTGTGCACAAGTATGTGCACATACACACACACTCCTTAGCCTTTAGGGGAGGCAAGAGGAAAGGGACAGAAATAGAGACTGAATGTAAGAGAAATTTAGAGAGACACTTTCTTTAGTGAAAGAAAAGAGAGGTGTGTGTGTGAGAGACAGATGGAGACACAGGAGGGGGAAAGAGATAAACAGAGAAAGAAGAGAAAGGAAGAGATTGAAATAGAGACAGAAAGGGGAAGAAGAGTGAGAAAAAAGATACAGACAGGCACATAGAGAAACATCACAACAGAAAATGAAAAGGAATAGAGTCAGAGATAGAAAAGGAGAGGGGGGAAGAAGAGGGATGACAACAGAAAGAAAGATCTAGAAGATTAGAGAGAGATGGTAAATGAAAGATAGAGAGACAAAAATAAAGATGGGGGGAAACACAGAGAGACACGCTAAGACTGAGAAGGTGAATAATGAGTAACCTTGAGTCTCAGTAGAAACAAAAGCTAAAACAGAAAAAACCCAAACAAATAATAATAATAATAAAAACCTTACAAAACAATGGCAGCAAACAAAGCCCTGGTGTTTCTGGGAAAACTGGGGAGATTGTTGTAAGTGATGATGGGGTGCTCCTGAGCACAGACTAGCAGCCACAACTGGGTCCCAGCTAAGGCTAAGGATGTGTGTGCACCCACAGATCACACCTGTGCTGGTGCCTGGGCACTCTCACATGCAAACATACACACTCACAGATTTCCACAAACACAACCTGTGGCTATGGAGCCTTTTGGACAGCAACCAACTCATACATGAATAACAAACACATTCTCTCTCTTTCTCTCCTGGGCACGCATGCACACACAAGCGCGCACGCACGCGTGCACACCACACACACACACACACACACACACACACACACGAGATGGAAGTCGATCTTATACTCTGCCTCTTCACACAGGGACACAGTGTACAATGCCTAAGAACCAGTGCCTTTCTCAACAAAGCCATTACTGCCCCCTAGGGGACATTTTGGAAATTTGTAGGAGCATTTTTGGTTGCCACAATAATGGAGTGTAAGGTGTCCTATTTAGGGGTCCAGGGCAAGGATGCTGGCCAGCCAGTGATCTGCATGGCAATACCACACCACCACCATATGTCCTGCATCCCCTAGGACTTTGAACTTATAATTAACAGAAGCTAGACTGTAACCTACTTCAGTCAAATGCCATTTATTTTTTCTGGTTCTAATATACCCTGAATTATCCAGGAATGTGTCTGTCTTTGTAAGTTGAGATGAGACTGTACTTTGGTTTGTGGTGCACTTCCCTTGGCACGATTTACTATTTTGTAAACTCTCATCCAAATGATTTTGCCTATCATTTTCCTGAACTTTCCCCCATCTCCTAAATCCATATTTATTTATTATAGGGTCTTATGAGCCACTAATTTCTTTCTTGAATATCCTAAAGAGTGACACACCTAAGCATTTACATATTGAAATATACATTATTTTCTTATAAATCATTTCCCTTTTATTTCACATTAGTATTATAGTTAATAAAATATGCATATTGTATAAAATACTATATGAGCCCAGTGTGGTGGTGCACTTAAAATTCTAGTGACTTGGAGCCAGGGTTGTGGCTCAGTGGTAGAATGCTTGCCTAGCATGCATGAGGAACTGGGTTCTATCCCCGGCACCACACAAAAATGAAAACAAATAAAATAAAGGTATTGTGTCCATTTATAACTTAAAAAAATTCTAGTGACTTGGGAGGCTAAGGCAGCAGGAACACAAGCTTGAGGCAAATCTGGGCAATTTCACAAGATCTCATCTCAAAATAAAAAAAAATAAAAAGGATTGGGGATGTAGCTCAGTGGTAGAGCACCTGTGGGTTCAATCCTTAATAACACACACACACACACACACACACACACAAACAAAAAAAACTGTATGGATTTTCTTTTTGAAATTGCATGTGTAGAGTGCTTATATTATTTAAGAATTCTGTCTCCAGATAGTAAAAGGATATTACAAATAGGTTACATTAAAAAGTGCATTGGGGCACCACCCACTACTGTAATCCCAGCAATTTGGGATTACAATTTGGGAGGCTGAGGCAGGAGGATTGCAAGTTTGAGATC